TGTGTGGGACGGGGTTCAAGCACAGGAGGGGCTCAGGACTGGGGTAAGGGAGTCGGTGTGCGGGAGGAGGTGCGGGCACAGGAACTCGCTCAGGGCTGGAGATTGGGGTTGAGGGTGCTAGCTGTGGGAGGGAGTTAGGGTGCAGGAGGGGGCTCAGTGTGAGGCAGGGTGTTGGGGTGCAGGAGGGAATTCAGGGTACAGGCTCCAGAAGGGGGCTCAGGGCTAGAGTAGGGTGTTGGGGTGCAGGAGGTGGTTCGGGGTGTGTGAGGGTTTCAGGGGTGTGGGATCCAGCCGGGCGGGGCTTACATCAGGCAGCTCCCGGTCTGGAGCGGCAAGGCTAAGGCAGGCTCCTTGCCTACCCTGGCCCCACGCTGCTTCCCTGTGGGGGGAGCAGTGGTCTCTGTGTGCTGCCCCTGCCTGCAGTCTCCACCTGCGCAGCTCTCATTGGACATAGTTTCCAGCCAATGGGAGCTGCGGAGTCAGTGTTCGGGGTAGGGGCAGCACACAGAGACCCCCTGACCCCTGACCCAGGGATGTGCCAGTCACTTCCGGGAGTAGCGTGGATCCAGGGCAGGCAGAGAACCTGCCTTAGCACTGCTGCGCCACTGGACTTTCAGCGGCCGAAAATCTCCCCGTTTGGCTTCAGGAGCCTCGGGGAGATAGAGCCCGGTTCCGGGAGTCTACCAGCTAAAATGGGAGAGTTGGCAACCGTAACCCCCACCCCCAGTGCCCTGATGCCTCCCCAGGGAAGAGAAGCACAAAGAGAAGCCCCCATTTGGTTAGTGGTTCATTAGTGGTTCAAGCGCATCCAACCCCCAAGAGCAAGCTCCCCTCTCCTCTGGCAGCATTGTGGTGCAGCCGATCTAGGGACGAACCTTACGCAGCCCGTGCTGATGAACCGTCCTGTGTCCTCCTCTTTGCTGCTGGAACAATATCAGTTGCTGGGGGGAAAAAAACTCTCCTGGACTTTGCTGCAGGGGCTGAAATGAAGAGAAGGGTCTGACTTCTCTAACGATTAAAGAGTTTCCTGTTTTATCGAGGCAGGGGTCAGGGCTGAGCAAGGGGTGGAACAGGATTCGGTCCCTCCCCTACTGGGAACAGATCCTCGATAAACCCTGTTCAGTTTTTCTGCTATTTTCCCCATTCTCTATCCGCAGCCGTGGAGTGAATCATTCCATCCTCAGCCATTGCAGGTCCTCTTCTCTTCTCCCCAGGGCAGCCCGGTAACCCCTGTGACGGGTTGGATCACAGAACCCCCCCCTTGGGAGCTGCCACCTGATGTGCCAAGACTAACCTTGCTCCTGCTTTCCCTGCCAGCTCAGGACCCCAGCACCCTGTCTTGCTGAGCCAGACACGCCCGTCTGTTCCAACAAAGACCCAGGGTCTGAATTACTTGTCCCAAAGTTGCAGGCTTCACTGAAAACAGCTTACAGAAGTGTTCCTGTCTTTAACACTCAGATGCCCAACTCCCAATGGGGTCTAAACCCAAATAAATCCGTTTTACCCTGTATAAGTCTTATGCCGGGTAAACCCATAAATTGTTCGCCCTCTATAACACTGATAGAGAGATATGCACAGCTGTTTGCCCCCCAGGTATTAATACATAGACTGGGTCAATTAATAAGTTAAAAGTGATTTTATTAAATACAGAAAGTAGGATTTAAGTGGTTCCAAGTAGTAACAGACAGAACAAAGTAAAGTCACCAAGCAAAATAAAATAAAATGTGCAAATCTATGTCTAATCAAAATGAATACAGATAATATCCTCACCAGTTCCAGAATGCTCCCTTTTACCCTGGGTCCAGCAATCACTCACACCCCTTGCACACTGTCCTTTTTTCCAGTTTCTTTCAAGTATCCTGGGGGATGGAGAGGCTCTCTCTTTAGCCAACTGAAGATAAAATGGAGGGGTCTCCCATGGGTTTAAATAGACTTTCTCTTGTGGGTGGAGACCCCCTCCTCTCTCCTACGCAAAGTCCAGCTCCAAGATGGAGTTTAGGAGTCACCTGGGCAAGTCACATGTCCATGCATGACTCTCAGTTTTTACAGGTAGCATCCACTGTTTACATGCTACCTTGAACATCCTCAAGTAGACTTCTTATGTGGATTGGAGCATTCCAAGATTCATTGTCCTTTAAGTGTTTCTTGATTAGGTAATTAATTTCAACATTCCTTTCTCCAGGAACTGACCAAATGCTCTACTAAGGTTATTTAGAAATCAAGCCAGTACACCGCCAACATTCATAACATTCATAACTTCGAATACAAAAATGATACATGCTTCTGTGGCAGCCGGTTCTGGCCAGTGGGAGGACAATGGGCTGTAAAGAGAGGACCCCAGTGACCTAACCAGCTGATTCCAGCCAGAGGGGCCAGAGGACAGAAGAGGGGAGAGGAGGCCCAGGTGACCCTGTTTACCTGGAGAGAAGACAAAGGACAGAGGCGGGGGTTGGGGCCGGTGATATCAGATGCCCAGCTGGGAAGCAGGGGGGCTGGGGCTGGAGAGGGGGAGCAGGCAGAGGAGGCTTGGATGTGCTGTGCTGAGGAAGGCCAGGCCTGAGGCCGTGAGAGTTTCCTGTGCTGTGTTCAATGCTCAATAAACCCTCCTGTGTTATGCTGGCTGAGAGTCACTCCGGTCTAGAGAACAGGGTTCCATCAACCCCTTTGGGAGTGGAGGCCCCGGGGGTCCAGAGCGAGGGGACTCCCTGAGGGGGCCCACGGAGAGAGACAGACGTGCTAAGGCTCAGAGAGGTGCGGCTCCAGGAGGTGGAGGGGCTTAACCCAAAGAGAGAGTGGACCCCTGGGAAAAGGGCTGTCTCACTGAAAGGGGCACCCCCCACGGACCCAAGAATGGGCACGATCTGTGAGTCCGTGACAACGACTTTGCCACATGCAGGCAATGGAGAAACTTTCATGGCTCAAACAGCCCCATCTAATTTACAAGGAGCTTTGTGGCAGTCCCAGGAGCCTGTTTGGATCCTGTGCTCCTGGAAACCGAAAGCAACAGGCTGAGCTGCCCCTTTCCCAGAAATGGGAGGAACCTGGGAAGTGGGGCTGACTCTGAGCCACCGAACTGCAAACAAAATTCCTACAGCCTTAATTCTTGTACGGAAACTACAGGCGAGGGCCTGGCACGTGGAGCTGCTTAGCCGGCAGCCACCCGACAGCAGCTCGAAAGC